TCCCCCTCACTATCACCCTCACTATCACCCTCACTATCACCCTCACTATCACCCTCTCACCCTCACTATCACCCTCACTATCACCCTCTCACCCTCACCCTGACCACAATGAAACACGTCCAGAAGAATGTCATGCAAAGCTGCCGGCCTTCCTTAGATTCTCACTGAACTGCCTGGTCTTCTTAAAGGTCCCGTGTCCTGCTCCTCTGGCTCTGACCCATCCCCTTGTGTTCTGAAGCTTCTGCATGTGAACGCTCTGCAGAGTCTCAAACCCTCAAAGTGCACCCTGTAGGGAGTAACAGTCTGTGCTGCCCCTGAACGCCTCGTTGGACATTTCTCTTTCTCCATGGTTTACTTCCTGGGTACTCTGACGTGGGGACACCCAGAGGCCACGCCCTCTGCCAGCCTCTGACGTGGGGACACCCAGAGGCCACGCCCTCTGCCAGCCTCTGACGTGGGGACACCCAGAGGCCACGCCCTCTGCCAGCCTTTCACCAAACAAAGCTTCCCAAACCTTTCAGAATTCATGCGGATATGCACAGCGTAGGAAGAACGATGCTGTTCCTGCTTTGTTTGGACCAGCGGGAGATTCGGGTACACAACCTGTAAGTATTCATTGTTTGTGTATTTATGATGTTTAAAACAAGGGTTCTACCACCACTGTTTGAATGGGTTCGGGCTGCTACGTTGGGATGGCGGAGAAATGCTCTCTGCAGACCCGTGTTCTCCGCAGACCCGTGTTCTCCGCAGACCCGTGTTCTCCGCAGACCCGTGTTCTCCGCAGACCCGTGTTCTCCGCAGACCCGTGCTCTCCTCAGACCCGTGCTCTCAGCAGACCCGTGCTCTCAGCAGACCCGTGCTCTCCTCAGACCCGTGCTCTCAGCAGACCCGTGCTCTCCGCAGACCCGTGCTCTCCTCAGACCCGTGCTCTCCTCAGACCCGTGCTCTCCTCAGACCCGTGCTCTCAGCAGACCCGTGCTCTCCTCAGACCCGTGCTCTCCTCAGACCCGTGCTCTCCTCAGACCCGTGCTCTCAGCAGACCCGTGCTCTCAGCAGACCCGTGCTCTCAGCAGACCCGTGCTCTCAGCAGACCCGTGCTCTCCTCAGACCCGTGCTCTCAGCAGACCCGTGCTCTCCGCAGACCCGTGCTCTCCTCAGACCCGTGCTCTCCTCAGACCCGTGCTCTCCTCAGACCCGTGCTCTCAGCAGACCCGTGCTCTCCTCAGACCCGTGCTCTCCTCAGACCCGTGCTCTCCTCAGACTCGTGCTCTCCGCAGACCCGTGCTCTCCGCAGACCCGTGCTCTCAGCAGACCCGTGCTCTCCTCAGACCCGTGCTCTCCTCAGACCCGTGCTCTCCGCAGACCCGTGCTCTCCTCAGACCCGTGCTCTCCGCAGACCCGTGCTCTCCTCAGACCCGTGCTCTCAGCAGACCCGTGCTCTCCTCAGACCCGTGCTCTCCGCAGACCCGTGCTCTCCGCAGACCCGTGCTCTCAGCAGACCCGTGCTCTCCTCAGACCCGTGCTCTCCTCAGACCCGTGCTCTCCGCAGACCCGTGCTCTCCTCAGACCCGTGCTCTCCTCAGACCCGTGTTCTCCGCAGACCCGTGCTCTCAGCAGACCCGTGCTCTCCTCAGACCCGTGCTCTCAGCAGACCCGTGCTCTCAGCAGCTGGAGGCGTGTCGCGCAGTGGATAGAGCCTTGGTGTTGGGATCAGGGGAGCTCAGGTTCAAACCTCACTGCAATCAGCATGTCGTTGTGTCCCTGAGACGCTTCACCCCAAAGTGCTCCTGTGGGGATTGCCCTCAGTATGTGAGTCGCTTTTGGATAAAAGCGTCTAACAAGTAACATGTAATAAAGTAATAATAATTACTCAATATCAAGCCACACTTATTGTTTTTACTTCGGCTGTGAGTGTTTGTGTGCTCAGGATGAGTTTTGCTTGTTCTCCTGTATCTGTCCGCTCCTCACAGCAACGAGCAGCAACAAGCTGCTGCACGTCGCGTGACCAATCAGAGCACAGTGGGCTCACAGGGGGGGGGGGCAGGAGCTCCAACAAGCCGTGTAGGACAGAGAGTGAATACACAGACTATACAGAGATGCTGTGAGAAACCAATGTGAGTTTGGAACATTGAACAATATAAATCTATTTTAGTAGAGCTCAACGATGGAACTATGATCAGTAGAAATTGACATGGGACCTTTAATGTTTAATGTCAACCATTAGTGGGCCTGGTCTACAAGATCCACTACACCTCTATGGTACCCATGTACATGTCAAAATTCTTCCCAAAGGTCAAGGAATACCATGATCATAACACCAGAGGGAGCTCCACAAATCATGTGAAACCCAGATTTGGCACAAAAAAGGGGGAATACACGTTTCGCAATGATGCCACATCAAGGTGGAACGCTCTTCCCACAACTGTAAAGGAAAGTAAAACTATACTTACCTTCAAAACCTCTCTTAAAGAGCACCTTCGGGGGAGAGCATTGCAAAACTGGCCCCGGTAATGGTACAAATCTCAACCTGTCGTTCAATGGACAGCTTCCCCCCCCCCCATCTATGTATATACTCGCATTTTAGACTCTGTTACTAACTGTATATCTGTAGACTTGGTATGTCTTAAATGTCCGGTTAGGATGTATTAGAACGAAATCTAAAATGAAAATTGTAAATAAGCAATCTGTATGTAAAAAACCACCTGTATGTAAATTGTAAATAAGCCATCTGTATGTCAAATATGTCTTATATGACATGATGAATTGGAAATGGGGGACCCTGATGTAAACAAGACGAAAGTCTTTCTCTGGTCTGCATCCCCTTAACAATTGTATGTTTTGAGCTGTACTGTACTGTACTCAATATACAAGCTGTTAATACACTTTTCAATCAATCAATCAGTGCAGATAGCGTGAAGTAGAACAGATCGCAGATGCTAATGTAGCGTTAGCATTTCTCCCCCGGGCTTAAACGGTGTATTATAGAATGATCACACCGGTGACAGTACTCTTCAAAGGGTTCACGAAATATGACTACTACTCTTACTGTTTAACATGTTGGGTTACTTGATGTTACTTCATGTTAAGGCTCATAAAAATGACAAGGCTGTAATGCTAACTAACGTGCTAGCTACTAGCTAGGTAGCTAACTTGATCCAGCCACTCCTGGTCCTTTTATCAGACGGGAAGCGAAAGAACGAGCAAGACCCATTGCTGGAATGATAACAACCTGGTACTAAGCACACAGGCATCTTGTTAAAGTTATCTGATCTTAGCTATCTCTATTTTAGGGTGCATTCACACCTAATAGTCCGCTCTCTGGTGAGCACCAGACCACAGTTTGTTGCATTGTTTCATTTCTCAGAAGGTTTGGTTTGCGTTCACACGGCAAAACTCAAACGGACTATACACTTTCAACACAAGTCATGTGCTCAGAAATGCTGTTCAACCATTGGTCAGACATTAACCGGAGCCTCCGCCATGGAGCATCGGCACTTTCTGCAGGTTATTCTCATGCTGCTGTTAATCTGGAGATCAACAGACACTAGCGGCCCGCGCATATGATTATATAATCAGACAACGTCCGTTAAAAAACATTATAACATAATGAGAGACGTTCTGCAGTCAGGAGGGCGTTTCACCGACGACAGGTCTTCTTACTTTTATCTAGTTGACGGAGCGTTTTTACTTTACACTGTTCAACTCTTCAGTCTGCTTCACTCTTTAACTAAACAACCGCGGATGTCTTTCAAGACGCGTTCTTGTGACACGTAAATACTACGCTTCCTATGTTTTGGTGCGGACTGCGTTCACACCAGCGATGAACCGCTCCAGAGTTCACTAGCAAGCGCTCCGAGACCACCTATTTTAGCGGACCAGAGTCCGGTCTCGGACTGCGTTAACCCTAACCCTAACCCAAACGAACCGCACCAAGCGGCTAAACGCACCAGGGTTCGATTCAACCGGACTATACAAGGCAGGTGTGAACGCACCCTTAGTGGAGGAAAATAATTGTGACATCACTTACGCGACTCTGGGATTTGTAGTCTTTCTAGTTGCGTATTTTTCATAGTCTTATATTTCAACAGTTTTACGACAAACTGACTTTTTTGACATGGAAATGATTTTTTAAGATTGACAAACATCATATGTGTAATTCATGGCACAATTCAAACGGGATCGAAAGATACGTTTTCTCTCTCCATTGACTTCAATGCATTATTATTCCGAAATAAGGTCCCATGAGGTCCACCTGAAGGGGAGGGACATCGCCTCTCTATAGAGCGGTGCAGTGACGAGTCCTAAAACCAGGAAGTGAGTCAGCAGGTCTCCACTTCCTGTTCCCTGGTCTCAGAACCAATGGGATCTCTCCATAGGATTTAGGAAACTAGCTGAATTAAGGTCTGTGGTTGAGACACGTTGAAGAGACGGATCAGGTTTTGTTCTAGGACATTAAATCATCAGCAGTGACCCCACTGTGATTTCTGAAGAGTTGACGTGTCTGAAAAACGATGGTTGTTACCAAGTGGATGAATAGGACTACAGAAGTCGTGGAGGCCGTTGTACGTCATTACGCCGAACACGTAAACACTCCTCTAAGTTAGTTTCTGTTCTGCTTGAAAGCAAGTCCCTGCCTCCTGCAAAGTGTTCAAACAAACGCTTCAACTCGTACCATCTAGAATCTGTGTGTTTGAATCTGGATCTGAAGTTGGCGTGACGTTGAAGTCGTGCTGCTGTTACTCGGCTGACCCTGCAATGCTAACGTGATGCTATAAAGGAACTCCTTTATAGCATCACGTTAGCATTGCAGGGTCGAACTACAGAAACACGTCATCACTGCACCACTTTATATAATACAGCTTTATTTATAAAGCACTTTAAAACCTCCAGACCAAAGTGCTGCACAGCCAAACAAACAAACATCACAAGTAAAAACAATAGACAATTTAAACACAACCCAAACACCAGGAGGAACACAGCAATAGAGGCGGGGCACCAACCTGGAGAGCACTCTGATTGGCTCCCGCTGGACGATGGTGATGTCGGGGTCTGAGGGGAGGGGGGGGGCGCTCTGAAACTCTGAGGGCAGGAAGAAGGACGTCCGCACGACTTCCTGCATCGAGAGGCCGTCAGCTGACACCTCGGTAACCACGGGAACCGTCAGACCCAGGAACCGCCCTGAAGATCATATGATATATTAATAAAGTATAAAAATATAATATAAAGTATAATAATATAGTATTTAATAACCTGTGGAGTTCTCCCTGCAGATGTAGCGCATTAGCTTCATGAAGCTAACAGAGACGCTCTGCTCGAACAGTTTTTCTCCGGCTGAAACACAGGCCCACTGACCGGGGGAGATCAGCCTCTCCTCGAACTGCACCTCCCCCATCTGAGGAGATAGAGGGGGTTAGGTTCTCCTTTAGGGAACACTGCACCTCCTTTAGGGAACACTAGGGAACACTGGACCTCCTTTAGGGAACACTGGACCTCCTTTAGGGAACACTGGATCCTCCTTTAGGGAACACTGGATCCTTCTTTAAGGAACACTGGATCCTCCTTTAGGGAACACTGCACCTCCTTTAGGGAACACTGGATCCTCCTTTAGGGAACACTAGGGAACACTGCACCTCCTTTAGGGAACACTGGATCCTTCTTTAAGGAACACTGGATCCTCCTTTAGGGAACACTGGATCCTCCTTTAGGGAACACTGGACCTCCTTTAGGGAACACTGCACCTCCTTTAGGGAACACTAGGGAACACTGGACCTCCTTTAGGGAACACTGCACCTCCTTTAGGGAACACTGGACCTCCTTTAGGGAACACTGGATCCTCATTTAGGGAACACTGGACCTCCTTTAGGGAACACTGGATCCTCCTTTAGGGAACACTGGACCTCCTTTAGGGAACACTAGGGAACACTGGACCTCCTTTAGGGAACACTGGACCCTCCTTTAGGGAACACTGGATCCTCCTTTAGGGAACACTGGACCTCCTTTAGGGAACACTGGATCCTCCTTTAGGGAACACTGCACCTCCTTTAGGGACCACTAGGGAACACTGCACCTCCTTTAGGGAACACTACGGAACACTGGACCTCCTTTAGGGAACACTGGACCCTCCTTTAGGGAACACTGGATCCTCCTTTAGGGAACATTAGGGAACACTGGACCTCCTTTAGGGAACACTAGGGAACACTGGACCTCCTTTAGGGAACACTAGGGAACACTGGACCTCCTTTAGGGAACACTGGACCCTCTTTTAGGGAACACTAGGGAACACTGGACCTCCTTTAGGGAACACTGGACCCTCCTTTAGGGAACACTGGACCTCCTTTAGGGAACACTAGGGAACACTGGACCTCCTTTAGGGAACACTGGATCCTCCTTTAAGGAACACTTCACCTCCTTTAGGGAACACTGGACCTCCTTTAGGGAACACTGCACATCCTTTAGGGAACACTGGATCCTCCTTTAAGGAACACTTCACCTCCTTTAGGGATTACTGGACCTCCTTTAGGGAACACTGGATCCTCCTTTAGGGAACACTGGACCCTCCTTTAGGGAACACTGGACCTCCTTTAGGGAACACTGGACCCTCCTTTAGGGAACACTAGGGAACACTGGACCTCCTTTAGGGAACACTAGGGAACACTGGACCTCCTTTAGGGAACACTGGACCCTCCTTTAGGGAACACTGGACCTCCTTTAGGGAACACTAGGGAACACTGGACCTCCTTTAGGGAACACTGGACCCTCCTTTAGGGAACACTTCACCTCCTTTAGGGAACACTAGGGAACACTGGACCCTCCTTTAGGGAACACTGGATACTCCTTTAAGGAACACTGGACCCTCCTTTAAGGAACTTTAGGGAACACTGGACCCTCCTTTAAGGAACTTTAGGGAACACTGGACCCTCCTTTAGGGAACACTGGACCTCCTTTAGGGAACACTGGACCCTCCTTTAGGGAACACTGGACCTCCTTTAGGGAACACTAGGGAACACTGGATCCTCCTTTAGGGAACACTTCACCTCCTTTAGGGAACACTGGATCCTCCTTTAAGGAACACTGGACCCTCCTTTAGGGAACACTAGGGAACACTGGACCCTCCTTTAGGGAACACTGGACCCTCCTTTAAGGAACTTTAGGGAACACTGGACCCTCCTTTAGGGAACACTGGATCCTCCTTTAAGGAACACTGGACCCTCCTTTAGGGAACACTGGATCCTCCTTTAAGGAACACTGGACCCTCCTTTAGGGAACACTGGACCCTCCTTTAAGGAACTTTAGGGAACACTGGACCCTCCTTTAGGGAACACTGGACCTCCTTTAGGGAACACTGGATCCTCCTTTAGGGAACACTGGACCTCTGTTAGGGAACACTGGATCCTCCTTTAGGGAACACTAGGGAACACTGGACCTCCTTTAGGGAACACTAGGGAACACTGCACCTCCTTTAGGGAACACTAGGGAACACTAGGGAACACTGGACCTCCTTTAGGGAACACTAGGGAACACTGGACCTCCTTTAGGGAACACTAGGGAACACTGGACCTCCTTTAGGGAACACTAGGGAACACTGGACCTCCTTTAGGGAACACTAGGGAACACTGGACCTCCTTTAGGGAACACTGGACCTCCGTTAGGGAACACTGGACCTCCTTTAGGGAACACCAGAGAACACTGGACCTCCTTTAGGGAACACTAGGGAACACTGGACCTCCTTTAGGGAACACTCACCTTCTCGTGGCAGCAGATGGAGGAAAATTGGAGGAGCTCCCTCTGCTGGCTGTTGCGGGTCATTTCCATTATGGGTCCCATCATCTCTGTGACAGACAGGAAGCTCAGTTAAGATCACAATAAAGCCCCGCCCACTCTAACCCCCCCCCCCCCCCCCCTCACCTTGTGGTTGCTCCCTCCCCCCTCACCTGGAGGTACTTACACCTGGTGGTTGCTCCCACCCCTCACCTGGTGGTTGCCCCCCCCTCACCTGGTGGTACTAACACCTGGTGATTACTGGCGACCGCCTGCCAGTGAGTCAGCAGCCGGTCTTCTTCCTCTTCAGCCATTGGTTGAGGTTCCTCAGTGATGTCATCGTCCAGCTGCTCCTCGTCCAATCCCTCGAGGTCTTCAAGAGAGATCAGAGCCATTACTGCTGGGGGAGGGGGGTTCCTCTGACCTGCAGGGACAGCATGTAGCATTATCATGTTAGCATATCCTTTAGCATAAATCATTATCATGTTAGCAAACCCTTTAGCATGAAGCATTATTATGTAAGCATACCCTTTAGCTTGTAGCATTATCATATTAGCTTTTAGCATCATCTTTTAGCTTGTAGCATCATCATATTAGCTCCTGGCCGCTTTTAGCATTATCCTTTAGTTTGTAGCATTATCATGTTAGCTTATAGCATTATCCTTTAGCTTGTAGCATCTTCATATTAGCTCCTGTAAACGTTTAGCATTATCCTTTAGCTTGTAGCATCATCACATTAGCTTCTGTCAGCTTTTGGTATTATCCTTTAGCTTGTAGCATCATCATATTAGCTCCTATACAATTTAGCATTATCCTTTAGCTTGTAGCATCATCATATTAGATCCAGTAAACTTTTAGCATTATTCTTTAACTTATAGCATCATCATGTTAGCTCCTGTACGCTTTTAGCATTATCCTTTAGCTTGTAGTATCATGATATTAGCTCCTGTACGCTTATAGCATTATCCTTTAGCTTGTAGCATCTTCATATTAGCTCCTGTAAACGTTTAGCATTATCCTTTAACTTGTAGCATCATCACATTAGCTTCTGTCAGCTTTTGGTATTATCCTTTAGCTTGTAGCATCATCATATTAGCTCCTATACAATTTAGCATTATCCTTTAGCTTGTGGCATCATCAGCTTTTAGCATGATCCTTTAACTTGTAGCATCATTATATTAGCTCCTGTAAACTTTTAGCATTATCCTTTAGCTTGTAGCATCATCATATTAGATCCAGTACACTTTTAGCATTATTCTTTAACTTATAGCATCATCATGTTAGCTCCTGTACGCTTTTAGCATTATCCTTTAGCTTGTAGTATCATGATATTAGCTCCTGTACGCTTTTAGCATTATTCTTTAGCTTGTAGCGTCATCATGTTAGCTCCTGTACGCTTTTAGCATTATTCTTTAGCTTGTAGCATCATCATTTTAGCTCATGTACGCTTTTAGCATTATCCTTTAGCTTGTAGCATCATCATATTAGCTTGTGTAAACTTTTAGTATTATCCTTTAGCTTGTAGCATCATCACATTAGCTTCTGTCAGCTTTTAGCATTATCGTTTAGCTTGTAGCATCATCATGTTAGCTCCTGTCAGCTTTTAGCCTTATCCTAGCTTGTAGCATCATCATGTTAGCTCCTGTTAGCTCCGAGATGCTGCCTTCAGGGTCTAACACAGAACCAGGGAGATGCTGCCTTCAGGGTCTAACACAGAATCAGGGAGATGCTGCCTTCAGGGTCTAACAAAGAACCAGGGATATGCTGCCTTCAGGGTCTAACACAGAACCAGGGAGATGCTGCCTTCAGAGTCTGACACAGAACCAGGGACATGCTGCCTTCAGGGTCTAACACAGAACCAGGGACATGCTGCCTTCAGGGTCCAACACAGAACCAGGGAGATGCTGCCTTCAGGGTCTAACACAGAACCAGGGACATGCTGCCTTCAGGGTCTAACACAGAACCAGGGAGATGCTGCCTTCAATGTCTAACACAGAATCAGGGATATGCTGCCTTCAGGGTCCAACACAGAACCAGGGAGATGCTGGCTTCAGGGTCCAACACAGAACCAGAGAGATGCTGCCTTCAGGGTCTAACACAGAACCAGGGACATGCTGCCTTCAGGGTCTAACACAGAACCAGGGAGATGCTGCCTTCAATGTCTAACACAGAATCAGGGATATGCTGCCTTCAGGGTCCAACACAGAACCAGGGAGATGCTGCCTTCAATGTCTAACACAGAATCAGGGATATGCTGCCTTCAGGGTCCAACACAGAACCAGGGAGATGCTGCCTTCAGGGTCTAACACAGAACCAGGAACATGCTGCCTTCAGGGTCTAATACAGAACCAGGGACATGCTGCTTCAGGGTCCAACACAGAACCAGGGAGATGCTGCCTTCAATGTCTAACACAGAATCAGGGAGATGCTGCCTTCAGGGTCTAACACAGAACCAGGGACATGCTGCTTCAGGGTCCAACACAGAACCAGGGAGATGCTGCCTTCAGGGTCTAACACAGAACCAGGGAGATGCTGCCTTCAGGGTCCAACACAGAACCAGGGAGATGCTGGCTTCAGGGTCAGACAGTATCATTAATAACATGATGAATGATACATCACGTCATCCTGAAGCTAGTTTGTTGTTCATATTGATCTGATTGAATAGTTTGTCTAAAGTCATACAGTTCACACACTCAGATATACAGCCATAGAAAGGACAGTTAGCACGGTTAGCACAGTTAGCACGGGTCGGGCTGGTTATATTTATCTCACCTGGTTCTGTCAATAACACCTCCAGCTTCTTCTTCTCTGCTTCCGGTACACTGCAGCTCTCGGGCTCTTCAAAATAAAAGCCCGCAGATCCTGTCGTCGTTTTCAACACTGTGGCCGTGTCTCAATTCAGGGGCTGCACCCTTCGGAGTACGCAGCCTACGCGGTCCACGGAGGACCCAGCCCACGTAGTCCGGGTAGGCTGGACCGAGCGGCCTACAAAATGAGACGGACTAGCCTACGGAGGGCTTCGCATTTACGTCACGTGATACGCGCTGTTCGGTTGCGCAGCTCCAGCAGCCTGCTAGCAAATTAGCTTACAAGCTAACTCAGCTGAAAAGGATCCAGAAACTTTACTTTTAGACGTTGTAACATGTTTTTTTAATGAACAAAATCATGTTGTATGGATCAATTATTCACAATAGTAGTGTTTTAATCTTAATAGCTGTGATTATAACAGTTTATATTCTCCTTCTTCCCCTAAACCAGCCCAGATGACGTCCCACTGACCCCAGGTCAGCCTCTCCAGGTCCAGCAGCACGTGACCCCCCGCTCTGCTGAAATACACTATTAAACATTTTCTATGACCTACTTTTTGTATTAATAAAATTAAACTGAAGACAGTTTAATGACCTAGAGATATCCTATTATTCCACTGCTATGTACACATGTTGTAAATAATGTTTAAAACCTCAGTAAATGAAATAAACAATGTGTTTAACAATTACTATTTTAATATAATTTTGTATTTTCATCTAATCACAAAGTAGAGGTAAGAATATATTGCCTATAATATATCCGCGAGGGGCGTCTAATGGAGTAGAGCAGTGGTTCCCAAACTTTTTCAGTCGGGCCCCCCTTGGGTAATTGGAAATATTTTCGGGACCCCCCCAACCCGGTTCCCATCTATATTGGTAGAATTAATTGTATATTGTTATAAAAACATTGCATTTTCTCTGCTAATAATAAGAAGATACAAAGATCCAACTATCATTTTATATTTTATTATGGATTTCACATGAACAAAAGTGCTTGTAATAGATACTGTGAATTAATTTGGCCTAATTAAAACTAGCAGGCCTTCTTCCCAGAGTAGTATATTTTTAAATTTCTTTAAGGAACAAATATTAATGAGCTACTATTTCTACTGCAGGTTGCAAACGATCACATCACTCTACCATTCATTACATTGCATTGCATTTAGCTGACGCTTTTATCCAAAGCGACTTACAATAAGTACATTCGACCAGGAAGACACAACCTTGAAGAAAACAGAATCATAAAGTACATCAGGTTTCATAGAGCCAAACATTTCAAGTGCTACTCAACTGGCTTTAGATAAGCCAGTCCTTTATCAGTATAAAAGTGCTTTGTTAATAGTTCTATCGCTCGAAGTGGAGTCGAAACAGATGAGTTTTCAGTCTGGAAGGTGTGTAAGCTATCTGCTGTCCTGATGTCAATGGGGAGCTCATTCCACCATCTTGGAGCCAGGATAGCAAACCCACGTGTTTCTGCTGATGGGAACTTGGGTCCCCCTCGCAGCGAGGGTGCAGCGAGTCGTTTGGCTGATGCAGAGCGGAGTGCACGCGCTGGGGTGTACGGTTTAACCATGTCCTGGATGTAGGAAGGGCCAGATCCATTCACAGCATGGTGCGCAAGCACCAGTGTCTTGTGGTGGATTCTAGCAGTTACTGGAAGCCAGTGGAGGGAGCGGAGGAGCGGAGTGGTGTGGGAGAATTTAGGAAGGTTGAAGACCAGACGAGCCGCTGCATTCTGGATGAGCTGCAGAGGTCGGATGGCACATGCAGGTAGACCAGCCAGGAGGGAGTTGCAGTAGTCTAGGCGTGAGGTGACGAGAGCCTGGACCAGAACCTGAGTCGCTTTCTGAGTCAGCTGGGGACGTATCTTCCTGATGTTGTAAAGCGTGTATCTGCAGCAACGGGTTGTAGCAGCGATGTTTGCAGTGAAGGACAGGTTGTTATCTAGGGTCACACCCAGATTCCTTGCAGTCTGAGTCGGGGAAACAACAGAGGTGCCGATGTTGATTGTTAGGTCAAGAGTGGGACAATCTTTTCCAGGAAGGAAAGCAGTTCAGTCCATTCCTATTCCACACATAGCCTATCAATGACTTGTGTGTGCTTGCTTTCCCTCGCAGATCTTCTCAAACCGGGGCTGTTGTTTTGAGACTGCCACTCAGTTCATTCTCAATGTTCAGCTTTGATCTGTATCTCACTTTGATGGCAGCAAGAAAAGCCGATCTCACACAAGTAGGATGTTGCAAAAGGCAGCATTATGCCCACAGCTCTCTGACCAATGAGAATAATAATAATACATTTGATTTATATAGCACACTTTAAAAACATCTCAAGGTGCTTCACAAAGCTAAACGGAGAAAATAATCAAATCAACAAATCTTCCCGCGCCCCCCCTGCAGTACCTCCACGACCCACCAGGGGTCGCGCCCCACAGTTTGAAAACCACTGGAGTAGACGGATCCAACAGGTGGTCCTGGTACTTCATAATAAAGCCATTAACATCCTGCTATTTTTTGTTCTAATTCGACCAAAACTTGACCCAGTTTAAGATTAAAGCTATCTGTGATCTACTAGTGGGATATATGTGCAGCGATCATGCCTCCAAAGGTGAACAAGACGACTGCTAGCTTAACCAGTAGCACGGCTGAGGCTAAGGATCAACGCAACGACATGCTAGAGGACATCCGCAGAATTGTAAGAGAAGTGATTCAGGATGAAGGTTCCTCGCTCAAGACAGACAGTCAGCTTGCGATTGCACCAGTAAGAGTTGCATTGGATGAATGTAAGACTCAACTTGCTGATCATGAGGAAGGTTTAAACACCCTGGCCGCCCGGGTCGACTCTCTGGAAGCCCGCAGCACTCAGCTAGCTAAAGACAACAGACGATCTGGAGAATAGAGGGAGACGTTGCAATCTACGTATTGTTGGAATACCAGAAGGTGTTGAACAAGGCAACCCTACTACGTTCATCTCTAACATGCTTCACGAATTGTTTACCGGACTGGAGAAAGCACGGGTACTTGACCGTGCTCACCGCGTGCCCGCTTCCCGGCCTAAAGACGGAGAGCGCTCCTTCCTCTGTAAGGTTCATCTTTTTCAAGTGAAAGAGGAAATACTGAAACTCCCTCGTCAGGAAGGCAAGCTGCTCGGCGCATCCAGATGTTCCCTGACTGCAGCGCGGCATCATGAGGTGAAGGCTGTGCTTCGCAGGGCAGACGTCAGATATGGGCTCCTTTACGCGGCACGACTGCGGATCGCTTTCGGCAGTGAGACGAGGATTTTCGACTCTCCCCAATCCGCGATGGAATACTACACTACGAAGATAAAGCCTCCCGCCGAAAACATGTGAACATTTGTGCTGTTTGTGCCAGGGCCGTCTGTTAAGGCAAGGAGTCGTTTACCACGGACTGGAGATCGGGACCGGAAGGCTCCGGGTGGATCAGGCCGTAATGGAACCGCTCTCTGCAGGGAAGCTGTTTGAGCCGGGATAACTGACTGTACTCTCTTCCTAGAGTCATGTGTCTCCAGAAGGACGCGCTTGTGTCTTGACTCGTGTGAGGGTCTTTCTTTCTTTAAACAGACTTTTCATTCACGGGATCTTTGGAGACCCTTTCCCTGAGACCTCCTCCTGCAGCTCTGTCTTGTTCACCGGTAGCTTCAGTAACTACTCCATGAATGTATCTGCTCATGTTGAAAGCATCTTGTCTCACTGCTCATAGTAACCGGTGCTCAGACAGACAGCAGAGAAGCATATGATTATTGTTTAGAATAAGGACACCAGAGGAGTTCACTGCTAGATAAACACACTCTGTTATAAGGACCGGACGTGGTTAGATATTGAGGTAATGGCGGTTAGAGCAAAGCTTGTTAAGCTTTGGGAACATGGAGAGAACAATATGCTGTAGTCTGTTTTGTGTTTGTTCTTAGGGTTTCTGTTATGAATGCTCCAGACTCTCTGAGCACCTTAATCTATGAGCACCTTAATCTATGAGCACCTTAATCTATGAGCACCTTAATCTCTGAGCAGTTTAATCTCTGAGCAGCTTAATCTCTGAGCAGTTTAATCTCTGAGCACCTTAATCTCTGAGCACCTTAATCTCTGAGCACCTTAATCTCTGAGCAGTTTAATCTCTGAGCACCTTAATCTCTGAGCACCTTAATCTCTGAGCACCTTAATCTCTGAGCATTTTAATCTCTGAGCACCTTAATCTCTGAGCACCTTAATCTCTGAGCAGCTTAATCTCTGAGCAGTTTAATCTCTGAGCAGCTTAATCTCTGAGCAGCTTAATCTCTGAGCATCTTAATCTATGAGCAGCTTAATCTCTGAGCAGCTTAATCTCTGAGCACCTTAATCTCTGAGCAGTTTAATCTCTGAGCAGCTTAATCTCTGAGCAGCTTAATCTCTGAGCATCTTAATCTCTGAGCACCTTAATCTCTGAGCAGCTTAATCTCTGAGCACCTTAATCTCTGAGCATCTTAATCTCTGAGCACCTTAATCTCTGAGCATCTTAATCTCTGAGCACCTTAATCTCTGAGCATCTTAATCTCTGAGCACCTTAATCTCTGAGCAGTTTAATCTCTGAGCAGCTTAATCTGAGAGCAGCTTAATCTCTGAGCATCTTAATCTATGAGCATCTTAATCTCTGAGCATTTTAATCTATGAGCACCTTAATCTCTGAGCAGTTTAATCTCTGAGCAGCTTAATCTCTGAGCACCTTAATCTCTGAGCAGTTTAATCTCTGAGCACCTTAATCTCTGAGCACCTTAATCTCTGAGCAGCT